CGGGCAGCCGTGTCACCCACCTTGATGATCAGGTGGTGCGGCACCTTGCTGGCTCCCTTCGCACGCAGCTGCGCGTAGAAATCGTTCTCCACTGGCGTGTCGGTCGCGGGCCAACGGAGCTCGGGCACAACACCTTCATCCGCAGCAATTGGGCCTGTCGTCTTCGCCGGGCTACTCCATCCGAATAGGCGCCCAACCCACCTGAGCGGCGCACACAGCAGCAGGTCGAGAGCTGAGGCGATGGACTGGAGCCCGTACCCGAGGCCGATCACCAGCGCCACGACGAGACCTGCGAAAATCGTCCAGCACAGCATCGGCCACCCCGCTCCGAAGGCTGGGTAGCCCAGCGTGTTGAGGCCGCTGCCGATGACCCCGCCGCCGCCCCAAGCGACGTCGGCCCACTTGAGCTCGGTCTTGGGCAGGTCCTTGAACCACCCGCCCAGCCAGCTGATCCCGAGCTTCACGCCGCCGAAGCCAAACCAACCACGAGGGCCTCCTTCCTCGTTCTCTGCCTCTTCCTGGGGCGGTGCGGGTGCTGGCCCAGCCTCTCGCGCCGTACCCCTGGCCGGCGGCTCTCGGCTCCAGCCCGTGACCCAACCCCACGCGGGACTCCTCCTCCGCCTCGCCGCACCTGACCCCTCTTTGTCGGATCCCGGCGCCTGCTGACTCCGCGGGTTAGGCGGCGGAGTGGGCGGTTGCCGCCCCTTGCCACCCGCGGCTGCGCCAACCTGCGGCGCGTGGGCGACTGTCCGCCCCTTGCCTCCAGACGGCCCTGGTGGCCGCGTCTAGGGGGATGCGTGGCGCCGCGGCTCCTCCTTCGCCACCGCCAGGCCTCGGCGCCGCTGATCCTCCTCCAGCGACCGCAGCAGAGGAGAGCACGCTGCCCCTCCCTCAGCAGCCCACAGCTCCTCTGCAGGCTCACCTGCCCCGCGCGGCGCTGGCGGCACGGCGGGCGTGGCAGGGAACTCCCCATCCACGCCCGATCTCCCCCGCCGCGACAGCCCCGATGAGGATAGGGAGAAGGGCCATCATCAATGTGCCGACCCGCCCCCTCCTGGCACCGCTGCTCCTCTCCTGGCCTCCTTCTCGCTGGACTGGAGCCTCGGTCTGTCGGGCCTGGGCGGGTGGCCTCGGGCGCGCGGCCAGGGCCCCTCCAGCGTCAGCCTCCGGGGCCCCAGCCAGCGGCCGCCCGTGACGCCCCTCTGGCGACCGGGCCGTCACCCTGCACCGGGCCGCCGCCGCAGGGTGCCCTGTGCGGCCCCGTCGCCCGAGCGCGCAGAGCCTCGGACTCAAAGGCCCGAGATGAAAGCTTGAGCCCAAATGGGTCGCGGAGGTTCCCCCTTCCCAGGTACCCCCCATTGAAACCTTACGTTCTAAGCTGCGCGCGAACTCCTCTCTCCTCCTCCTCCTCCTCCTCCTCCTCCTCCTCGTCCTCCTCCTCCTCCTCCTCCTCCTCCTCCTCCGCCTCCTCCGCCTCCTCCTCCTCCTCTTTCTTCTGCATGCGGGCCTCCCTCCTCCCCGTCCCTCCCTCCTCATCTCCTTGTCCCTCGCTCCTTGTCCCTCTTCCTCTCCATCTCATCCCTCGAGGCCCCTCCTCCTCCTCCGCCTCCTCCTCCGCCTCCTCCACCCGGGCCTCCCTCCTCCTCGTTCCTTCTTCCTCATCTCCCTGTCCCTCGCTTCCTGTCCCCTTCCCTCTCCATCCCATCCCTCGAGCCTCCTCCTCCTCCTTCTCCTCCTCCTCCTCCTTCTTGTCCTCCTCCTCCTCTTCCTCCTCCTCATCCTCCTCTTCCTCTTTCCTCTCTCCTCTCTCCTCTCGCCTTTCTCCTTTCTCCTCTTTCTTCTCTCTTCTCTCCTCTCTCCTCCTCTCACGTTTCTCTACTTGCTCCTCCTCCTCCCGCTCCTCCTCCTCCTCTTCCTCCTCTTCCTCCTCTTCCTCCTCTTCCTCCGCCTCCTCCTCCTCCTCCTCCTCCACCTGGGCATCCCTTCTCCCCGTCCTTCCCTCCTCATCTCCTTGTCCCTTGCTTCCTGTCCCCTTTCCTCTCCATCCCATCTCTCGAGCCTCCTCCTTCTCCCTCCTCCTCCTCCTCCTCCTCCTCCTCCTCCTATTCATCCTCTCTCCTCTCTCCTCTCTCCTCTCTCCTTTCTCCTCTTTCTTTTCTCTGTCTCCTCCCTCCTCCTCTCACTCTTCTCTGCTCTCTCCTCTTATCTATCCTCCTCCTCCTCCTCATCATCCTCCTCCTCCTCCTCCTGCTCCTCCTCCTCCTCCTTGTCCTCCTCCTCATCCTCCTCCTCCTTCTCGTCATCCTCCTCGTCCTCCCACTCCTCCTCCTCCTCCTCCTCCTCCTCCTCCTCCTCCTCCTCCTCCTCCTCCTCCTCTTCCTTCTCCGCCTCATCCATAGCCATTTCGGCTCAAGCTGCGTGCATAGTCTTGCAAGCCAGCCCGCCTCGCCCTCACGGGCCCCGCCTCGCCATGGAGGCCTTCACGGTCGCGGGGTCCGCTCTGCGCCATGCCGGTGCGACTCCCGCCGCAGCCCCTGCGCCCGCAGCCGAGGCGCCGCTCGGAGCAGGCCTCGTCGCGGCCCCCGCGCCGCCCAGCAGCGCCTCCGTGGCCGCCGCGATGGCCGCTGCCGGCTCGGCCGTCCTGGCGGCGGGGCGGCGCACGCGCAAGACGCAGCGCGAGAGGCGCCTCGCGCGCCAGGCGGCGCCCCCCCGCCCGGCCGCGGCGGCGGCATTCTGCGGGAGCCGCGCAGCGGCCCCCGCGGAGGTGTGCACCAGCCTGCGTGCCGAGACGTCCGTGGAGGACGGGGGCAAGGCGGGCACTGGATGGGAACGACGGTGCCGACGGCTTTCGGGAGGGAAGGGAGCAGCAATGGCACGCTGCCCTCGGTAGGCCGTCGGCGAGCAATTACCGCTTCGCTCTTGTCCGAGCGCTTCGTGCTTCTGCAGCAGTGACACGCTGATGGGCTCCCCGCGGCGGCGTGCCATTGATCACTGCTGCTTCGGCTGGCTCCCCGAGACTGGAGACGAGTTTGTTGAATCCCCTGGCGAGCACGGGCGTTACCAGGGGTGGGGGCAGAAGGGGCATGGGTGCCGGTGGCGCGCGAATCGCGCCGGCGCCGTCCGAGAATGCCCAGGAGCGCCCAGGACTGGTTCATACCCTCACGGCGCCAGCGCGAGTCGTAACGTCACCAGGTGGAGGCAGGGGCGGGAGGGGGGGCCGGTAGTGGGCGTTGTCGCGACGAGGCCGCGGAGGGCGCACCAGCGTCGGCAGCCATCGCAGACGTCGTGGGCTGGTACAACCTGCAGTGGAAGGGAGGCGCCTTCGAGGTCTGTTTCCGACCGGTAGGCACGTTCTTCTGCCCCAAGTTCCAGGCGCCGGCTACCTGGCAGATGGAGGGAAACGTGATCAGAGTGGACTGGTCAAAGTTTGGGAAGTATCAGCTCACCTTCGACCCCGCGTCGAAGCACATGGAGGGCCATGCCGTACCAGAAAACAAAGGGGACGATAATAATTGGAGGAAGGCCGACTTCGTGCGTCCACTGAGCGCGGAGGAGTTGGCACTGATCGGCGACGGCGCAGGCTCAGAGTGGAACTTCGAGTGGAGCGGGGGCAAATTCCCGGTGCAGTTTAAGGCCGACGGATACAATCATTTCAAGTGCGATGATTTCCCAGCGCACGCGCATTGGGACTGGGACCAGCAGAAGGAGTTGGTCACGATCCATTGGGGCCAGTACGGAACCTACGAGATGAAGATCAACGGCGTGGAGAAGACCATGGAGGGAGCTGCCAAGGGGAAGCCCGAGGAGTGGCGGAAAGCCAAGCTCTTGAGAAACTTGACTGGCAACAAGGCGGTGGAGCACTGCGAGCACCACTGAGCTCCGCTCGGTGGGATCAGTGCCTCGGCCGACGCACCCGCAGCTGCGATGTAGGCTCTCCTAGGCTGCGAGGCGCGCTTCCGGGCTGGGCGGCAGGGGCGCGCCGGCGCGCAGTAGATTGTGTTTCGAGCAGGGGAACGACTACAGAATTGATTGACCCCAGAACTATTGTTCTCGTCGGATCTTCGGAAGACACGTGGAACTATTTACGAGCATTTTGCGTATTTGTTGTGCAGTCGGCGAGAAAATCAATCTTGGGGTAAACCAGATCTGCAGTCGATCCTCTACTCGAGTTTTGAAGGTTGCCATAGATGCAAAGAGGGAGGGCGGCTTCGTTCGAACATGTGCGTGTGGCTCTCTCGCCTCAGCGCCGCGCGCACTCCTACGAACAGTTCGTGGCAGCTTTCGAGGGTGGACCGGGGAAACGTAAGAATCGAGTAAGCCGGAACTCGGGTTTGCCGACGGTTTTTGACGAGCGCATCCTGGATTTTGACGGTCCAGTGTTCGTGGGAAGTTTGCAGCGGGAGCTCGCGTCAAATTTCAGATTGAGTTTCGTCATTTTCATAAATGACCCCGTCAGGCCAACCCGAGTCCCCCGTACCTGAGTCGTACGTCTCCCCGAACGGAGGGGGGTCGTTGTCAGTATGTGGTTCTCGACTTAGACGACACAATGCATAAACATGGACTGTTGGCGATCCGCGCGGATTTGTTAGATCCACGCTGGCCCCCCCTGGCGGCGCCTCAGGCGCCGCCCCTGGCGCGCTCCGCGCGCCAGGGTGGGGGTACAGCGCAGATCCAAGAGATCTACGCGGAGCGCCAAAAGTTTCGGTTTATCCCTTTGCGTCTTCTTCTAAATCCGTGGCGCTCGCCCTACCGCCGCGCACTGTGGGCTATGAATCCTGCTACCGCTACAAACAAATTTAACACTGGTCGATTCCAAAGATGGAGTATCGCCTCAGCGCCGCCCACATCCGCTTTTTCGCAGGGGGTAGATAAACGGAGGATTGCACTTGTTCAAGGTAGGGCTCTCGCTCGAGCCCTCGTTAACTTAGTCGGCCTCGAACTTGCGCTGCAATGATCCAGAGCTGTTCTTGTGCAAATGGAGCTATCGCCTGAGACTTCTTGAATGTCAATGAGCACAAGCAGAAGTTTGTGAAACCTTTGCATGGACGCGGGGCATGCTTTTCTGTAGGGGGATCGCATTGCACGTTTTGTTACATTGTATGTTCATGGTTTCTCCGATTCTTGATTCCGCGCCAGAAGGACTCACATTGGTTACTCTTTAAAGCGGGACCCGCACCAGAATGGCATGCCCCATTGTGCTGGTCTTTCAAATGCAGTGACACTTACATTGAACATGGGATCTTGTTGGTAGGGCGCCCAGAGGAGGGGATTCGAGACGGCAGCATCGCTGAGTCATCTCGGGTTTGAGCTGGTCGAGTCATCTCGGGTTTGAGCTGGTCGTCCTCCTCTTCCTCCGCCTCATCATCATCAGCATCATCATCAGCATCATCATCAGCATCATCATCATCATCATCTCCATCACCATCATCACTATTATGTTCCCAGGTCTCCAGCGCCGTGATCTTCTCGGTTCCGTTCCCCCAGGGTCCTGTAGCCCGAAGACGGCCTCCCTCCCGCTACACGCAAGCGCGATCATGCGATCGTCCTCCTCCTCCTCCTCCTCAGCAGCAGCAGCATCATCATTCTTCTGTTCCCAGGTCTCCAGCGCCGTGATCTTCTCGGTTCCGTTCCCCCAGGGTCCTGGAGCCCGAAGACGGCCTCCTTTCCGCTACACGCAATAGCGACCATCCTCCTCATCTTCCTCCTCCTCCGCATCATCATCAGCATCATCAGTGTTTCTTTTCCCAGGTATCCAGCGGCGTGATCTTCGCGGTCTCGTTCCCCCCCAGGGGTCTGGAGCCCCAAGACGGCCTCCCTCCCGGGACACGTCAGAGCGCGAGACCAGTCGCCGGGCTGGGTGACCTCCGGCGCGCTGCGCGGCCTGGGGGGGGGGGGGCGGTGGAGCGCAGAGGGGGCCAAAAGCCCAGGCAAAAGCAGGCCGCTGCTGCTCCTGCACCGCGCACCACGATCTGCCAGCCCCGCACCAAAAAATGCCACTCTTCCCTGTATGGTGCGTAGCCACCAACATCTCCCCCCTCTCCCACCTGCTTCCCCCTGCGATCCTGGCGACTCAATTTTTCGAGCGTGGCGTTTTCGCATTTTTGTCGGGGCCCGGGACCCTCATTCTTGATTCTTTCGGAGGTCTCGAGGTTGACACCAACACCAATATCGGCGGTCTGCCTCCACCGAGGGAAGATGACCCCGATCTCGGTGACGTTGGCGATGTTTGGGCTTTCCAGGTGGCCGAAAAATTACCATCAGCAGCAGCAACATCCAGGATCATCCTCCCCGGGTGGAGGCAACCCCTTGACCTGTCGCGAAGGATTCTTCCGCACCCCTCGTGTCCCCTGCCCAGCTGTTCTCGCGCTCCTGCGCGAGCCTTGCTGTGCTCCCGTCGCACGACGCGCGTGGGCGGATCCTCTCGGCCCACTGGCCGGCTGAGCGCGAATCTGCCGGGTTGCGACCAGCCATCCTGGCGCGAAAAAGCGATTCGCCGACGTCTGCACGGATGTCTGGGCACCTCCGCCACGCTGAACAGAGATTGGCCAGCCAGCGGGGGTCCCATGGGAGAGTCCAGTTCTTCCTGAGGGCCCGAGGGTCCCCGATGGAGCCTTTGGAAACCAAGATCGCCATAAACGGAGACCCTGGACTTTTCACATCGCGATGCGTGAATCGCGCGTAAATCATCCCTCGCCCTCTGGCTGGCCGCTGGCCGACCCGGCCCTCTCTGCAGCCAGACCGGGCCAAGGTTTTTGTATGCGTTTTCTGATTTCCCGCACGAGCGGCGTAAAGGATTCGGGGCGACCACTTGCGTGGACGCTCGCGCGCATGAGCTGCCCGCCTTCAGGTCGCGCGCGTGTGCCCACTTCCTCGCGAGGCCCTGCACTTCGATGGCGGCCTAAGTGTAGGCCACCGCCAGTTGCAGGCGGCCTGCTTAGTAGGTAATCGCATGAGGTGATCTCCGCGTCTGCCTGCCTGAGGGCCCCTTTCTTTCTCCCTCCGCTCTTCGGAGTTGTGCGAGAGGCGAGCGGGCGTGTCCCTCCAGCGCCGCGGCCAGAGTTGAAGGGCTGAAAGGCTCCGAAGTTCGGGCGAGGCGGGGGCCCCGGCCCGTCCCAGCCCTCTCCGCGCTCGCGCCTCCTCTCGCTGGAAAAAGGAGGGCGGCAAGCGAAGCATATCGTGTCTTGTCTCTCGCCTGCCGCCCACGTCCGTGCGAGAGCCAGGAGCGGGGACCTGGAAGAAGGGGGCTATCAATCAGAAACCTCCTAGCCCTCGAAGTCCGGGTGGTGCGTTTCGCCGTAGGCGTGGTAGATAAGGAAGATAGACCTTGATATATCAGACAAGGTTTTCCACTCCTCAGCAGAACATGTCCGTAACTCTCGGTATGGCTCAGGGCGCCCTATTTGATACAGGACGGCAGCAGACGCAACACGCGTGCACATGAAATTATGAAGCCTCAGTTGTTCACCCGAAGCCTTCTCGGAGCCCACAGGGTGAACATGTTTGTTCGCCCAACGCCGTCTCGGAACCTACAGGGTGAACAGGGTGCCTAGAATCATTGCTGAGACTGCATGCAATGTCATCGGTTCGATTTTTTTCACAAAAACAAAATTGCCGTAGCAGGAGAGCTCGACGTAGAGCGGCTCGACGATCAGGAAGACATCGTAGTGCCTCACGAATTCGGTGACCACGACGAAGTACATCATGCCAGCAGACTCTCGGCACCAAAACTTGGACATGATGACGCTGTTCGAATTAGCGAGCAACCTTGAGCTTTGAATTCGCAACCGTGGAAGATCAGCCGCGGCGCTTCCGCTGAAGAGCATGCCACACGTCCAGAGCCCAGCGGCGTGCACGAGCGTCCTGTGGACCCTGGCTGCTCACCGACCACGTGCAATGAGTGCGGCAGGCCAGGCACGTGAGCCAGCAGCCAGTCTCGTTACTGCCTGGCCTCATGGCATGTCCTTGTTCCACGCAACTGCAGACCACGTGTTCGGGCACCCGTGGCGAAACCCTAGGGAATCGGCGGCTGACGAAAACCATCTCCGTCGTCACCATCTGGATCCACCCTCTTCGGCTTCACAGTCGTACTCGTCGGTGGCTTGGAGGTAACAAGGCACATGATAGTACTGCGCCAAACCATAACCAGGCGACCTGATGAACAGAACCGTCATGAGCACGCTGGGAGTCGCCGTCAGTGTCACAAAATAAGAGAACCTCTCGAGCTGGCCCACGATCTCGTTCTCCTGGTCCCCGTAGTAGTAGTAATAGTAATAGTAATAGTAGTGCTGCGCGTCCTCGGTGTTGCCGGAAGCCTGACTGTTAACCATGTGGTCCGTCGCGCTGGTAACGCCGACCTGGCCGGCCACAGCCATCGTAGCTATGATGCGTGTTGTTGCCTTCCGTTGCTGAAGATTCGGCGACCTGTCGGCGTAGAAGTGACGAGGAGAGCAGTACTTGAAAGGCTGGCCTGAGGGATCCGTTCTTTCCTCGACCTTCTTGTCGCACCACTCGAGCGCGCACTTAACCTCTGATTCGCTCTCCGGCGCTTCTGCCACGTTCGCGTAGTCCTGAGCGAATCCTGCAGCAAGATCGAGTTCCATCTCGGCGTCACGCTTGGGCTTGGCACTTAGCTTTTTCCCAGCAGCGTAGTTGGGGTCGAATTTGATCGCGCGGTAGCCTCGCAGGACGGTTTCGGCAAAAGCCTGACGGGCAGCAACCTTGGTCAAGCCATCGGCAAGCTGCTGCAAAGTGTTCGTCCAGCGAAAAACTCCACTAAGGGCCTCAGCGCGCTGTGTGTTTATCTTGAACTCCAGTGCCGCGCGTCGCTCCTTGATGCCAAGACCTCCGCTGATGGACAAGCTAGCATCAAACAACCC